CCGAGCCCAGCCCCGAGCCCCCGGCGCGGCCCCGGAGCCCCCGGCACATCCCATTGCGGCACGGCCGATGCCGCTCCCGGTGGGAAGAAGCCGGCTCAGCTTATCCTTGCAGTTTGAGCAATGATTCGCCCCTGTGAACCCACCCGGCTGTAAATCCTGGCACAGACAAGCCCCAAACATTCATTTCAGGCAACGCAGTTTGTGTCTTCTCGGCATTAGCATTTGCACTCTTATTAATTAATACTTGTTAAACCAAGACTAAAAATAAAGCGCTCGGCTCCCTTTCTCAGCTAACGCCTCTTTGCCCTCGCCCGGCAGCACGGCTGGGCTGTGGCAGGCTCAGCACCCAGCTGCTCCCTTCTCCAGAGCCAGAAATGGAAGAAAAGGACTGTGTTGGAACAGGAATCCTGCTAAAGGAAAAACCACCCCTTCCTGCAGCACCTTGGTGGGACAAGCCAGCCTTCCCGACCATGGCTATGGGTGTGGGGGCAGTGACAGGGACAGCAGCACACACAGCATTTAACTTTTTTTTTTCCAGTTTCTGAATTTGTTTTTCTTTTGCTGCCCTTTTTCTTCCTGGGTTGGGCCAGCTTGGTTGCACTTCCCATTCAGAGCTGATTTAATTTCCCAGGCAGGACATCCGGGTGTTCAGGAAGGAAATGGTTCATCGTGGTGGGCACAGGTGAGCTCAGTGCCTGCACACAGGTAGGTGCTGCCACTGCTGCCTTCAACAGCATCCAGCAGGCAGCAGATGCTGCAAGAGTCCCTTTTTCCTGCCTGGGACTGGTACTACCCATCAGCATCCCTCCAGATACAAAGCAAGTGGCTGCACATGTGGGTTAGTGCTGCTTCTGGGGCACCTGTGGAGGAAAAAAGGACCTGAAATGGGAGTCAGAAAAGCTTTTGTGGAACCCCAGGGGTGAAACCCAGCTGTGTTTGGGCCCAGGTCATGGTGCTCCCCACCACAATCCAGCCCACCATTAAATCTACCAGGCTCCATGTTTCCTCTGTTCCCAATTTCCAAAGCTCTTGGGCCCAGTTCAGATCTCAACTGAGCAAGGACAGCAAACTCTCAGACCAAACACCTTCCGATATAGATTCTATAGATTACACAAAGATCTACAGCACACAGACCTATGGAGCATTCAGAGCCAAGGCACGGTGCTGAATGGACAAGGCTGTGCCAACCATGGTGCCTCAGTGCTAGTGCTGGGGAAGGCAGCCTGGCCTGCAATATTTAATAACATTAATGATAATAACAGTAATAATAGCAATAAAACAACAGTAATTTGTTAGTTAACCCTTATTAGTGAAAAACAAGTCTGCAAAATTTATACGACTCCAGGAAAGCCCCAGGTCACCAATCTGATTGACTTAAACCACCAAACCTTGTAACTCTTGGTGATTCCTCTGCCTTGGGTGTTCTTTCCAGAGCCCCTTGGCTTTAATTTGCTGGAGAAGCTGGAGCTCAGGATGCCATCCTCCTTTGCTGTGCTGTGGCAGCCAGGTGTGGATCTGTGGGGTGCCAGGTGTGGATTCAGGGCGTGGAGGGGCTCTCCCAGCCCAGGCTGTTGGAAGGAGAAGCTGATGGCCAGGTTTCCCCTGAGCATGGTTGAGTACCAGGGCTGGCAGCAGGAGCAGCACTTGGGGATGCAGCACAGCTCACACGCGTTGGGAGTGAATGTTAATGGTGCCGAGCTCCTGGGAGAAATGATCAAATTCTTTGAATAAAGCGGGTAGGAGAGGAAGGGGAGGGGGATGAAGGGAAAATAACTCCACAGATTAATTTTGCTGATGAAAATTAAACTTGGGCATTGCTGAACCAACCCCAAAATGAGCAGCTTTGGAGCTACAGCTCAGCCTGGGTCGGGTCTGCTTTAGCTCCTGTGCCTGTGCCCCCAGACCTCACAGTGGGTTCAGCCAGGGGCTCCCTGCATGGCCTTGGGACAGGACCATTTCAATACCAAAAATTAAAAAAAAAAAAAAAAAAAAATGTTGTGAGCTTTTAATTAATTTGTATTAACTTCCTTGACTTAAATACTTGTTTTTGTCCACTGTGGTCTCTGGTGAGGGTGGCTCCAAAGGTCCTCCTGGTCCAAAATGAAGGCAGAGACTCAGCAGTGATCACAGGACTCAGGGAGCTGCTGCTTTAAAAAGAAAATAAGGTAAAAGTTTGGGAGTGGACCATGCCATGAGCTACAGGATAGAACCCTCCCAGCCAGCAGCTTCCTCCTGCTCTGCTCTTCTTGGAGTTGGAAAACCTCCTGTGGAGCCTGAGAAGTCCAGTGGGAGGGAAGTGACTCCAGCATTCCCAGGATGGCTACAGGGACACAAAGGGACTTTCCTTGGCTGGAATCACCATAGGCACATTGGCTGGAGCTGCAGAGGGCACAGGGCTCTGAGCTGGGGGCACAGGGAAGCTTTGAAGCTCTGTGCTGGGGCTGGGGCTGCAGCAATCCCGGGGGTGGGACTCCCCTGCATGTCCTGCTCAGCTGCACCCCACCTTCCCTCCTGCCTGTGCTGCACCGCCAGCCAGCCCCTCTCCCTGGCTGTGATTTCATTTTGATCTTGGGCTGCTTCCCTCCCTCCCTTCATCCCTCCTCCCTTGCTGGCTGCTGCCAAGTCCGCAGGTTCCTGCTGTGACCTTGAGCTGGTTTCTGGAGCTGCTTGTGGGTTTCTTAAAGGAGCCATGGGGTCTCCCACCACCTCCCTTCTGCTGTCCAAAACTCCAGCCCAGCCATGCACTGGCCCCCCTGGGGCTGGGGGGAACAGGGAGTGAGAGCAGGGCCCCCCAAGGACACAAAAATTGTGAGAGGGTGGAAGTAGCCAATTCTGTGGCCACAGCTTGGCCACACTCACCACTATCTCCTGCGCATTCTCTGAGGTCAAACAGCCACTGGGAAGGGAGTTCCTGGCCACCAGTCCCAGCTCTGTGCATGGGCTGGAGTGGGCAAAGCCCCCAGTTGCATGTGGTACTCAGAGACAGCGCTGGCATGGGAGGAGCTTGGGCTGGGAGGTGCACCCACCTCTCAGCACAAAGGGGGGTCCATGGCCCTCCCTGGCTGTGCCGTGGCCCTTGAAGCCACACAGCCTCCAGAAGCAGCAGGGAGAGCTTGAAAGTGAAGGTGACACCAGCTGCTCTCCAAAGCCAAGCCACAGGGCACATGACAGCCTCGGAGAGATGCTCCTGGTTTCCTTGCTGGCCACGTGTGTGTCTGTGCCAGCACAGTGTGACTCATGGGGAAGCTGTTGCTTGCACCCAGCAGTGGGTGTTGCACAGAAACTCCAAATCCCATGAGCATCCCTCTGCCCCAGTGAGCAGTGAGCAGTGCCTGAGGCCTCAGCAGGACAGAAACCCCTCAAAATTCCCTCACTCCAACTCACCTGGGAAAATAATTCCCCAGGTTAAACCCCATGTGGGATGTGGTATGGCCCCATGGGGAGTCTCAGCTCTTGGGCTGAGACTGAGTGAGCCAAAAAGCACCTCAAAGTGCAAACAACTCTGGTGAGGATGTGCACGTGGAGACTCTCCCAGGAGCAGCAGTGTCCTGGTGCTCAGGCCACAGAGGTTTTAAGCCATGATTTAGATAAGCTGGACAGGCTGAGATTCCAGCCTTGCTTGCCCAGTCCAGGCCATACTAAAAGCTCCATCAGCCGGAGAAGACCCCAATCAATAGGAGCCTTCAAGGCAAGTCATAAAACTCTGAAATTATGCAGGCAGCTCTCAGTGCTCCACAGCAAAGGCAGTCTTTAATTCATGGGGATGCTCCTGGGGAACCAGTGAGAGGGCTCTTAAATAAGGGAAAAGAACAAGGGACTGCACTGCTGCCACCTTCATGGGGTGTACAGGGCTCGGAAGGTGCTGCAGTGGCAAACCCACAGCTGAGCCTTCCTCCCTGCCCCACCCAAACACCTCATACACAACCCACTGGAGATGCTGAAGAGATCCAAGGGTGCCTCCAAACGCCACCTTGGAGCATCTCCCAACCCCAGGGAGATACTGAGCACGCAGCACCCCTCTCTCCCACCCCACAGGTACAGAGATCGTGGGACTCCATGGTCCTGGGGACCCCAAAACCAAGCAGTTCCCTGTGAGTACCAGCAACACCTTCTGCCTTGGACATGGAGCTCATGGTGGCTCCTAATGGTATGGGAAGGAGTAGGAAGGGATGTTCTCAGCCCCCTCTATTATAGATACAAAGAGGGAAACTGAGGCACTGCAGGGTTGCAGAAGCAGAAGGGATAAAGAATAGTTACAGGAGAAACTCAGTAGGATCCTTGACCTGGAGCAGGCCAATCGCTCAGGGAATGAAAACCCAGGGAAAAAAGGCCATAAAATGTAAGAGTCACGTTTGGACCACACAAAGGCACCAACAGACCACCAAAAGTCACAATGCAGTAGCCAAGGTATCCTTGGGAGCCTCTTATGCCACAAGGAGAGGAGAAATCTCAGCTTTGGCACCTTCACCCAAGCTGCTGGGACTGGTGCTCTGCACAAGGAGCCAGATCTGGCCCGTGGGTGACAGGAGCCAAAGTGCTCTGAGCTGTTGGGGCAGCACAGGAGGCTCAGCCATTGTCCCCACCACCCCACCATGGGGCCAGCTCACATCCCACCTGGCGTGGGGACACAGCCCTCAGCTCAGGCAGCGCCACAGCAGGAGGAGGAGGGAATGGAGTGGGATAAGGAAGAAGGAAGGAGAGGGAAGAAAAGGAAAAAAATGAGTTTTCCTGCTGCCCCAGCGGTGTGGCGATTGATCGGGTGCAGGCTGGTGTGGAGCGGTGCTGAGAGCCTCATTCCCCACCGCCGGCTCACAATTATTGGAAAAAACCCGGCGCTGCTGCTGCAGTGAAATTAGTTATTGATCTCTTGTCTGGGTGACAAGCACGGTGCTGGGGCTGCTCTCCCACCGTCCGGCCCCGCAGCTCCTGCGCCCGCCCCGCCGGGGCTCAGCCCCCGCCGCTGCCCCCGCCTGGGGACCGGAGGTCTCGCTGCTCCCCCATCCTCCAAAGCTGCTCCCCAAGGAGGTTTTGCTCACCCCACTCCACACAAGGAAGATGTCAGTGGGAGAAAAAGGGCTCTGCCCCACGCAGGGTGGGACCCCTGAGTGCTGACAGCCCCCCGCCCACACAAAGCTTGACCCCCCCACCCATCACCATCTCCTGTCCCCCAGGGATTGGGGTCAGGCTGTCCTGAGCCCTTTTCCATTTCCCGATAACCTGGCTATCGCGGAGGGAGATAAGGCAGAGGGAAATCAGGCGGCCAGAGAGCTTTTGTTGTCTGGAAAGGCTCTGCACATCTCTGGCTGCAGCTGGCCAGAGAGGCTGGACCAGCATCGGCTGCCCGGCCCCGCAGGGACAGGGACACGAAGGGACTGGGCTGGGACAAACGGTGTCTGCTCTTCCCAGAGGAACTTTCAAAGTTTCAATAACAAAAATCGGCTATTTATTTTCTTTTTTGTAATTCCTGCCGGGAGGCAGGAACAACAGGGGACATTTCAAACAATCCTGTTTTCTTCCAAACATAGTCACCAGAGAAACATTTTGCCCCGGGGCAAAGATGGGGTTTGGTTTCCAGAGGGTTTGGTTGGAGTCTCACCTTTGCTTAGAGTTCATCAAGGTGTTTCTTGTCACTGTCAGGGACAGGCTTGAGGCTGGCTCTCGAGTCTCCTCGGTCCCTTCAGGGTTGCTTGACTGTTCATAGGATTTTTTCCCATCAACATTTTGCCCCAAAAAGCAGTTTCCTGAAGTAATCCCTCCCCAAGGTATAATTAAAGTGGCTTTTGGGATGTAAATGAAAAGCCAGATTATGGGTTCCTGAGGGCCAGAGGTCACTGTAAAACCCACAAAATTTTTGCTTGAGCTTCTGTAGGGTCCCAGTGACGGGGATGCAGCCGGTGACTCTGCCTGGAAGGTGCCAGGGGTGGTGGGTGTAAACTGGCATCTGGGGGTGTCCACAGGGAGGGCATGAGCTGCTGGCACTGGCCATGCACAGAGCCTGCAGGGTGTGCTGGTGGCAGGATGCCAAGAGGGGACACAGTGGGGGCAGGATGGACCAAGACCTGTCCCATGAGGGGCTCCCAGGGATGGGCAGAAAGTGCTGAGATGTGACAGGCAAGGGGGACAACGGCTGGAGGCCACTAAGGGACACCAGGATGGCTCATGGGATGTCCCCAAGCCCTGTGGCAGCGGGCACAGGCAGCTCTCACCTCCTGTCTCCCTCTCAGCATCCCAAGCAGGCAAGACCCCGTCTGCATGTGTGTCCCTGGGGAGGCTGAGGGATCTTGGCCCCTTTCCCAGCCCCAGACAAAAGCCTGGGAACAAAAGCCTGCGGGATGCGGGAGGCATCTCCCAGCCGGGGGGTATTTGTTTAGCCCGGGGGGAGGTGAAGAGGGGAGAGGAAACTGCATTTCAAAGTGTTTCACCCTTTGAAAACCCTTCACAGCCCCCCAGTGCCCTCTGCATGGCCCTGGTATCCCTGTGAGAGGACACCGAGTCCCCTCCTGCCACCTCCATGTCTCTGCTGGGGAGGGAATAAGAAAGAAGATGTGGAAAGTAAAAAAAAAAAAAAAAAATTGAAAAAAAAATTGAAAAAAAAAAAAAAAAAAAGAAAAACGAAACGCAGCCAGGAGGAGGGAGCAGATCGCTGCGGGAGCATTTCTCTGGCTCAGCCCCTCTCTGGGTGGGGAAGCTGGAGCCCCAGCTCCAGGGACTGACTGCTGGGCTGAGAGTGAGCTTGAGAATTCATGTGTTTCTCCCCAGTTGTCTTCATTCTCACAATTACACTGTTGAGTTTTTGGGGTGGGGGTTATCCTGGGGATGGATCAAAGCCTGCACCTGGCCCCTTCCCAATCTAGCAATGCCCAGAGCACAGCCCCAGGCACACAGGTCTCCTTGCAGGTACTGGAGGAGCTTGGCAGAAGCCACCAGTCCAAGCCCATCCCTCGCACCCCTGCCCAGGTATCTCCAACAAGGTGCCAGCAGCACAGGGAGGGCTCTGGCCACCCACTGTCGTCCTCAGGCTGCTTCTGCAGGTCCCCTCTCCATATCCATCACCCAAAGCTGGGCACATCCCTGCACATATAAACCCTCAGCACCTCCAGCCCCAGCCTGTGCCGCAGGGACATCTCACACATCAGATGTCAGATTTCCTGGGGCTGTTTCTGTTTTTCACCACCCTAAAAACACCCATTTCCTCCGGGGCCAGGAAGGGAGGTGCAGCAGAAACAGCCTCTGGCATCTTCTCCGGAGAAGCAGCTTCCCAGTTTGCAACAGGGCACCGTCCCAGGGAGTCAACCTCACCCTGTCACTGCACAGGAAGGCACCAAGAGCGAGACAGTGTGGCCCCAAACCTCCCAAACCCCAGAAAAGTTGGGATGTGGACCCCAGCCACTCTTGCCACCCTCCAGAGCTTAGCATTCCATAGAGATGAAGTAGGAGAGAGGTGCAGACAACGGGGCTGACCACATCCATCGGCTCTCCAGGCTCTCTGCTTCCCTCCGGCGCGCTGGCGGAAGCCGAGCCCACGCCGACAGCGGCGGCTGGGCAGATGGAAAGACCAAATGATGGCTTTGCAGGGGGCCTGGGATTTGTTTGAGCCATCGCTGTCTCAGTGAGTGACTTCGAATAACGGATACACTTGAGAAAATCGCCATCTGCTCCCGGACAATTCGCAACCAGAGGAAAAGGTGAAATAAATTCAGCGACTGTATTATCCGCCCGTCCGCAGCTCCGACAGCAGGGTCAAGCTTTGTGCAGCGCCCTGAAAGTGATTTGGGAATGAGAGGGTGGTTTGGGATGAGCAAAGAGCAGACAACCAGAAAAGGATGGAAGAGTTGAGGCCCCAGGATGTTGTGCCCACAGCAGGGCTCTCCTGGCATCCCGGGTTTGGTAAGTTTGGCAGGAAGACAAAATCTCACCAGATCCCTTTTTTTTTTCCATCTCTGAATTTCGAGTGCCTCCTGCTTCCAGCTGGTCTGGAAATACCACAAAAACAGATGCTACAATGCAGCACATTTCATTTTTCAAACACTGGAAGAAACCAGACATGAAAAATAAATGCAGGGGGTTGCAGTGGCTGGGCTGGCGATGAGGCTGAGGGCACTTGGAAGAGCCCTTGAACCCACAGCCCAGCCCATGCCAGGCTCAACAGCTCCAAAAATCAAACCTTTCATCATCAGCAAAGCAAAGCCATTTCCAGGAGCATTTATCCAGGAGATAAAAATGTCCCTTGCATCTCTGTTTGGCCATGCCTGTGAACCCAGAACCCCCACAATGCTTAGACTGTTGTTTTTTATGCAATTAAGAGGGGGATGAATCTTTACCCCAAAGTCACAGCACTGTGAAGGAGTCCCTGTCTGAAGGGATCCCTGGTGCTTCCAACAGAACCTCACTGGCAGAGAAAAACACTCAGTGTTTGGTCTTGCAAGGGCAGGAGGAACTGGGGAAGAGCAGGGCTAGATGTGACCATTTTTGGTGCCCTTTTACTTCTGGCAAGCCCAAAGTGAGGGTGCACAAGTGCCCAACACTAACACTGCCCTACATTCCACCTGCACCAAAGGAAGCCTGTTCCACAGGTGATGATGGGATTTCTTCTGCCTTTTCCTCCTCACTGGACTTTACCTGGGCATGAAGGTGTGTTTGGAACCTGGGGAACACCAGCCAAGCATTGCCTTGGCCAATGCAACCACCCCAACCCACCCCAGCCTTCCCGATTGGGGACACAGCCCATGGGGGTTGGATGGGACAGCATGGCCCCTCTTCCCAGGGAGAGGCTCCTGGCCCTGCACATGCAAGATCCCACACTGCCACAAGCCAGGGGAAATGAACTGGGGATAAACCCTCCCGAGGGGCAGTGGCTGCCAGTGTGGATGTGCTGGTGTGTGGGTGCAGGGCAGAGCCCCCCCAGTGTATTTGCTGCCGACACAAAACTCACATTTATTTGGAGCAGGCAGAAGGAGGGCAAGGGTCTGCCTCAAAGAGAGAGAAAAATGACTGACCCAGCCCCAGGGCACAGCCCTGACTGGGGGGTCACAGGGAGCCCCTGGTTGGGTGGGTCACCGGGGGGACCCTGAACAATGTCCTGGGGAGCACTGCAGCCAGACGGGGGTCCCACCCTGTGCATCCCTGGGCACGGTGCTGCCGCCTGGCAGCGGGCACGATGCTCCGGTGTGCGCTTCTCCTCGGCCTGGCTGCTGCTGTCACAGCCGGTCCCCTCCTCACGGTGGCTGCTGGGACGGGTCCCCACCTGGATCCCAGCAGGTTTCACATCAAGAGGCACGGGCAGGGAAAGCAAGAGTCTGGGAGCAGGAGCTCAGCTGACCCCCTGAGAAACCAGAGGATGAAGAGGAAGCTGAGGATGAGGATGGGGAGGAAGCAGAGGATGAGGATGGGGAGGAAGCGGAGGATGAGGATGGGGAGGAAGCAGAGGATGAGGATGGGGAGGAAGTGGAGGATGAGGATGGGGAGGAAGCAGAGGATGAGGATGGGGAGGAAGTGGAGGATGAGTAAAGGGAGGAAGCGGAGGATGAGGATGAGGATGGGCAGGCAGGGATGGCAGGGCAGACCGTGTAGCCGAGCAGCAGCGAGCGGGAGCGGGAAGGCGAAGCAGCGCGAACGAGGGAGAGGGAGCAGAAATCTGTTGCCCAGGCTGTGCGCTTCGCTGTCAGCCGGCTCTGATTAACGGGCTGCCTTCCAGCTCCGCGCCGGCTGCGTTCCTGGCAGGAGCGGAGCCCCCCGGCTTCCTGCCGTAGGAGTGGCTCGCTGAAAGGTTACATTTGCACAATGTGCCGCTGGAAAAGCGGTGCCAGAGGTTGCAGGCGGGGGAGCCGGGCGAGCGGGCGAGCAGGCAGCTCCGCTCCGCTCCGTTCTGCCTGTGTAATGGAAAAAACCCTCTGGGGACGC